TCAAATTTCCTGAGAGAAAAGACTACCAACTGAGCTTCTCCCCTAGTGGCCAGCTGAGTCATGCAAGGGTTCTCACTAAATCAAAGGCGTGGGCCAGAGACTCCATTTCTGAGATGCTTGCCAGGAATGTTGGCCACAGCCAGCCCACGCTAAGGAGATCATTCAAAGTGAAGACTAAAGCGATGGCTCACAGCAGCCAGGAAGCAAAAAGCACCACTGGAGCTAGAAGACCTGGGTTAACTTCATGACTCTACCACTGGCTGGTTTTGCTGGGCCCTGGCCAAACTGAAAAGTGTACATTAATATATGCCTACTTACAACAGTAGGGTTGTGAGGTTTTAGTAAGAATGAAAATCCTTCTTCAGACCAGACTCTGTATCTACTCCCTACACTGGTATGGGACCATCTCTTTTCAAGCACGCCTCTCTCTTCTTATAGAATGTCGCCCTTGGTCATCAATTTACTTGTAGCTACTCAGATCTGATGCCCTTACTGGGAAAACTAAGCTGAACACCATTTACTGTAATGATCATCATACCAACAAATTATTAATTATATCAATATAGTTTTTAAAATTTTTCCCTGAGGGCTTGAGTCTTACCTATAAAAAGGTGTCATAGTGAACCCATTCTTAATGTAAATCAGTTCTTTATCTACTCAATTGAACTTTAGATGTTGCTAATTCCAAGATTACTTCAAAAAATTACAATAAAATACTTCAATGTGTGCATTTATCAATGAAACTTTCCCACACAGTCATAGGGGAAGTGCATGGTACTGTAGAATCTAATGTTCTTTAGAAGCTATTTATAAACTCTAAAACACTGGGCAAAAACTAATACTTTGCATAATTTTTTCCTCAATAGTAAAATAATGATGATACCCACTACATAGGGATGCTGTGCACATGACATATCGGAGACATCTAATAAATTTCCTTCTCTTTTAAGATTCAAATTAGCCTGCCAAGAAAATTCTGCTTTCTTGTGAAATAAGGGAAGCTTCTTCTAGCTTTCCCCTTGTGCATGCAATCATGCATGAGCATTTCTATTCAGAGGTACTTCGTTTCAAGTGATAGCAGTCGTTGCTATAGAGACTTCTGAATACAACTGACTAGTGTATATATAATATTAGAAGCAAGTCTCCAAGGAGTTAGGCTAACTGAAAAACCAAGGCAGAATCTTTTCTTAAGCTCCTGTCTCTCCTTAAGACTGCCATCTATTTCAGCCTACTCCTGATCATCTACATGGCTTGCCTAGATGTGAATAGCAATATTCACATCTTTTAAGTTGTTCTTTATGTCAGGTACCATATCAAGTCTGTTATAGACTATAAAAGGCAGCTCTTGCATACTTCCAATCCCCATTGGCCTCAAACCTTGTTCCATTTTCCTCTACAGACACAATCTGCCTGGGCTCTAAGAAGCTGCAGAGTGGCACAACCCAGCAAGCTCTTGCTTTCTGCTCAGACAATATAATGCTCAGCCCTCATCATTGGTCCACTGGTACCAAACTTAGAAAATAGTCTGCTTCCCACCATGTTTGGAAGGGCTAGTACATGCCATTGTTAATACCCCCATGCAATAAGCTTTCTCCCACTGACAAGATAACCTGACAGCAGGTTATAATTTCTTGGACTGTGTCCCACAGGATAAAGCAATTGATCATACTGGGTGGTGGCCAACTCAACAGCACATTCTCATCCATAACCTTCTTTTTTTCCTCCTTCATTCCCTCATCCACTGAGAATGCACTCAATAGCAAGGTAGGGAACAAAGCCTTCACCTTTGGCTCTCTCTCTTATTGGGCAACCCAATTAAGAAACACTGTGTTTTCTAATGTTTATGTCTACCTAAAGAGCTAGTACTTTAACATCTTTATTTTATGAGAAAGGAAACTAAAGCTAAAATGGGAGATGGAACTAAAACCCTTTGAATACCAGAGTCACATGCCAGGCCAGGATCATTCAGGATTCTCACTCCCAGAAGTCTGACAGCATTCCTTACCTGGTGTTGAAAAGTCAAAATCCCAAACCTTGTGTTAAGCTACACGACCTACTTCTTTCTGCCAAACCTTTAACTTTAGATGTGTCTATGTGAATTAGGCATGTGAGATGAAGACAGAAGGCTTAGAGATGGAAGTTGGATGGCAGTACTGTAAATTCATTCCCTTGTAGGCCTCTGCTCTTAATACTAGGTTGGAGTCACTAGTTCCATCATCTGCTCCAATGGCAAGGTAAAAAATACCCTGGTAATAAGCATCTCTCTGCACATCCATCAAGGCATCTATAATGCTGTCTATACCTGCAGGCTTCTAACGAGTCCTGGGCAGAGCTCTACTGCAACTTCTCTGAGAATTCTGGGCAAAGCACAACTCTGGGCTCCCAATGGGCCAATCCCAGCTGTTGCTCATGAAAACTGGGCTTCACAGCCTCTACCTGAGTTGATTTGAGAGAGAGATTTGTGGAGGTTTGTATTTTCATAGCAATTAATTATTTCAACACACATTACCTCTCACCAGGCCACCAAAGGAGCTCCTTGTATTGGTACTGTTAATACTGCTAATCTGTTTGACCTTCCTGCAAGGTAAAACTCTCTTCCTTCTTATCCCCATTTGGCAGATTTTAATTAACTTCTCAAGGCCAACCAATTAATCAGTGGAAAGCAGAGATGAAAAGTGGGACACCTGGTTCTCTGTGTGTTTGAAATTTCCAGTCACCTTCCCATTGTTTTCCCTACCAAGCCCCAGGTCTCAGGAGAAAGTCAATGGTCTTTGCCAGCTGAGGGTAAACTGGAAAATCCATGATCATAGCAGGTAGTCACACTGCATGAGTGCTTTCCTTCTGAGACAAAATAAATGATTCCTTGAGCTCCCCTGTCCCGATTTTCCCCTTTAAGGTGGAAATACTTGCATCAAACTGTCAAAACCCCCGTAAGTTTAAAGATTTTCTGTCAAACTGAAAAGCCTTCCTGTTTTAGTAAGATAGTGTTGATGTCATCTTGTGGCCCAAAGTAAATGGATCCACAATATGTTCTGGATGCCAGATACTCCAGGGAAGACAAGGTTCTTAACACAGCTAAGAGACAAATAAATCAATGCTTAAGAGGCCACGCCTGCAGAGCAGTCAGTTACGGGAACTGCCTGGGCTGGATCTGAAGTTCTACAGTACGAGCACCAAATTACAGTTTTCGTCTCAAAATAGATAGGAGGTTGAATGGCGCACATGGAGCTGTCTGGGTATTTTTGGAGTATGAGAACATTCAGTACCCTCAGCATAAGTCATCTATTAAAGCACCAGGAGGCAGGAAAATGGGAGGTTACGTGGAGAAGGCAAGTCCAAACCTAATAGCACAATTATCAGGGAGACAGCATTATCAACAGGCAGGTAAATAATTCTGGCTTGCTTTTGCAGTGAGGGAGACAAAGGGAATATTTTTAAATATTGTGTGGGATTTGATTTGACTCTGAGCAGTGACACCATGGGAAAACAGAGAGAGACTTGTATTCTCTCTCTCTCTCTCTCTCTCTCTCTCTCTCTCTCTCTCTCTCTCTCTCTGTCTCTCTTTTCTTTTTAACAAAACTGATTAAACTTAGTGGCTTTTGGTACCTACATGGTAAGGATTGACTTTAACAAACCATAACAAACCATAAACCAGTCATCTGAGTTTTCCATTTCTGGGTCTCAGCAGAAACAGCATCATAGAGGCACCAGTACATGCATGCAAATGAGTGCACACAGGCAATCTCACATGCCCTATGCCTCCCAGCTAACTTGACAATAGCAAGGCTTTGGGACCTGGTTTTCTACAGTGTTCTCTGTCATTTATTTAAGCATCTATTCAGTGTGACCTCGGAATCCTTCTAAAGAGATTCACCTGTAGTAATCAACTCATTCTATATTCATCTCCACATTATACTGAAGTCATGCGAACACTGACTATTGAATGCTCATGACTAATGTCAGCTAAGTTGACTTCAAATTATATATTAAACACCACTAGTTAATACCTCTTAATGGCAGGGAACCATTATAGAACGGGTGGAACTCATGAAGAACCATTAGAAATGCCTATGAGATAAAGTTTGTAAAACCCTGGTGTGTCCCTCTCCATCATGGCTGCCAACTTTATCACCACTAGCCCTACCTCTGATATATGATAGACAAGCTTTAATTGGAAAACAGAATCATAAGCTGCATCTTCCACCAAATGTTTATTACAAAGAGCAACATCAATGGGCAGAGTATTTTGTTAGTCAGTACCACCTCCCAGACCTCCAACTCCACTCAAAGCTAACACTACAAGACCTTTGTCATTATGTTGTTTGTATTTTCATTTTGAGGAACAGTTTACTTTAGTTAAATTCTCCAGTAATTTTTATTTTAGCAAACATAACTAAAGATTTGGGATGAGATAAAACAGAATCTGCTTTTTCACGAAGGAAAGCAATCGGGGTCTCTGAAGATCTACAAGCCCCTTTGGAGGAGACTAACCCTGAGAAGGCTCTTTCCCTGATAGTTCTTCTCTGCTCTTCCTACCATAGACTTCTGCTGCTTCCATTCTGAAAGAATTTATCTGTGATTATTTTATTGCTCTTCACAGAGGCTTTGGTCACTGAGACAAAATTTGTTTCAAGTAGAAGATTTTTTAGACAAGGCAATGCTTCCTTTATGGAGACATCAGGTAAGGAGGAGGGAAGGAAATTAATGAGTGCAAAGAATAGAACACAACTTGCCAAAAACAGAAAAAGAAAAAAGAAAGAGAACAACTTGCCTCTGAACTCCACATAGAGGAGCTGTGAGTGGCATAGGGATCTTCAAAGCCCCGGCTAGTAAAAGCTGTCTCCGTCTCCAGGATGCTATCCGTACAAGGACGACTGAGGCTTCGGACCAGGCCAGTCTCTTGATGACAAAGGCCATGATGCCCAGCGTCTCTGCTTTCACAGGGAGACTGTGGATGGGTAGGGATGGAGTGATCTTCATAAGACAGAATCTCAGAATAACTGAGTTGGCTGGCTCCATCCAAATCTAAATTTGCAATAAAAAACTGTTTCAAATGTATTATATTTTCATACTTTTTTGAGCTAGAGATATTGAACAATAGTAGCCATGACAATCAAGATCACAGCAACAAAACTTACAACAATAACATCTGCAAAGTTTATAAAGAAGAATAAACAGTATCCCTATACTCAAAAGACTACTAGCTCATTATATGAGATAAAGGTAGGCTTAATATTTTATGTATATGTGTACGTCTGTTTATATAGACTGATGAGCATGCATTATGTGTGGGCATGCATGTATGTATGACATATGTGTGGGCATGCATGTGTGTACGTGTGTATGTATATACTATGAGCATGCATATGTATGGGCATGCAGGTGTGTATGACATGTGTGGGCATGCATATGTGTATGTCTGTGTATACTGATGAGCATGCATATGTGTGGGTATGCATGTATGTATGTCTGTGTATACTGATGAGCATGTATATGTGTGGGCATGCATGTGTGTATGTCTGTGTATCCTGATGAGCATGCATATGTGTGGGCATGCATGTGTGTATGTCTGTGTATACTGATGAGCACGCATATGTGTGGGCATGCATTTGGAAGCTGAAGGGCAATATCAGGTGTCATTCTTAAGAATATAATCCACCTTTTTAAAGACAGGGTCACTCATGAGCTAAGGGATCACCAATTCAACTACACTGGCTGACCCATCCCTAGGATTATAAGCACACACCATCACACTACACTTTTTATGTGGAAACTCAACATTTGACACAGGTCCCTGTTCTTACGAAGCAAGTTCTTTATAAACACAGTACCCCCAGCCCTGGTTTAATATTTCTTACTCTTAATAATATGAATACAAAGAATGGAGACTTATGCCAGGTAGTGGCAGCACATGCCTTTAATCCAAGCACTCAGGAGGCAGAGGCAGGTAGATCTCTGAGTTCAAAGTCATCCTGGTTTACAGAGTATCAGGAAAGCTAGGGCAATACAGAGAAACCTTGTCTTGAAAAAAAAAGAAAATGGATATTTATGTTAAAATAAATGCACTGGAGCTGATAACCTCAAGACTTTAGAGATGGTTCTAGAAAGCAAATACATGGAGAACACATGGGCTCTGCACTCTGCTCCTCCTTTATCTTCTGCATTTACCAGTGGGAAATGGGTCTGGCAGTAAAGGTCACCCATAATGCCAGTACTGAGAAGACTGAGGCAGGGGGATCATGGGCTTGAGGCCAGCCTGAGCTACAAGGGGAAAAAATCTTTTATGAAAAAACTTGAAATTTTAATAAAAACAAAAGCTGCTGGTTTTTTTGAGCCACAGAAGTTCTAATGCCTGCACAATATTATGAACCTGGAAAAAATGTTCATAGTCTCTGAACACTTACTTTCTTACATAAACCTACTTTAGAAGACATCAGCAGGTCATTGAAGATGTAAAATAGTATCTGCCAGCAGCAGGTTTTCCCCATAAGCATCAGGTTCTCACTGCCTGGCCTGAACTTGAGTCTTCCAGCCCATTAAAGCCCAGGTCCAGAGCATCCCACCTCACATCCACTTCTGCTCTCACTGGATATTTCTCTCCTCTCCTCTGCCTTGTCCACCTGGGGTCAAGCAATTCCTGAACCATCCCTGACCCCTGCAGGCCCAGTCTTTCTCTCCCTGTTTCCTCCCCTTCTGAAGCTCTCTTAGCAGAGTGAGATGTGGTAACTATAGAGGACAGAAGCACAGAGTGAGGAGACCACAAACTCTCCACGCTTTGGTCTCTAGAACCACCTCTAGGTTATCAACTCCAATGGATTTGTTTTAGCCTTTAAAAATTCATATCCATTCTTTATATTCACATTATTAAGAAGTATTAAGCCAAGCCTTGGGATGTCTGAGTTGATAAAACACTTTCTTTTAAGTACAGGGACCTAGGTCCAATGCCCAATACCCAAATAAAAACCCTTAGTGTTGTTCTTTCTCATTCTGTCTCCCTTTGCCCCCAGTCCTTCTCCTCATCTTTTCTCTCCTTTCCCATCTCTCCCACAATCCTATTCATTCCATTCACTCCCTCGGTGTCAGCAGACAAAGCAAACCCAACAGACAGCAGTCAGCTCTGACTTCCCCAACCCAGTTAAGATGTCTCATCATTTTAGCCCCCCAGTCCCTCCCAATATTCCCCAAACTAGGACGAAAGAAAAAGGCAAGTTTACTGTTTGGTTTCAATTTTAACTTGACACAAGCTAGAGTTAACAAAGAGAAGGGAGCCTCAGCTGAGAAAATGCCTCCATGATAGGCTTTTTCTCAATTAGTGATCAATGGGGGAGGGCCCAGCCCAGTGGGTGGTATCATCCCTGGGCTCTGTGATCCTGGGTTCTATAGGAAATCAGGCTAAAGAAGCCACGTGAAGCAAGCCAATAAGCAGCATCCCTCCAAGGTCTATATCAGCTCCTACCTCAAGGATCCTACCCTGTTTGAGTTTCTGTGCTGACTCCCTTTGGTGATGAACAGCAATGTGGAAGTGTGAGCTGAATGAACCCTTTCCTCCCCAACTTGCTTTTTGGTCATGGTGTTTTGCTGCAGCAATAGAAACCCTAAGACAGGCAGCAAAGAGACATCTTTAGTTCACCTCTTATGTGCCCGAACAGTTCCTGAGTCTAGGAACTTCAGCTATAGCATATGCTCCAAGAAGGCATAAACACACATAATCTGTATCTGCTGCTGCATTTCCACTGAAATGTTTGAATAACTTTCCAGAGTAGTCATGTAGTACGTACTTGAAGCAGTCAGGTGGGAAGTGATGTGGAATCTTAGTGACAGTAACTAACTAGGGTATATAGGACTGATATATGCATTGATTCGAGCTTAAAATACATAGTATGGGGCTTGCAGATGGCTTATGGACTAAAGTTCTTGTCATGCAATCATAAGTACTAGAGTTTGAATGCCCAGAACCCACATAAATGTTAGATGGGCATGATGGTACATCTGTAATTCCACTGTCCAGGTGGCGGAGACACGGGATTCCGAGAACAAGCTGGCTGGCCAGACTAGGCTTAAATAGCAAACTCTGAGTTTGAATGAAAGATCCTGCCTCAATGACTAAAGTAGAGAATGATCAAGAAGTCTCTCAATATCAGCCTCTAATCTCCACAGACATGTTCACACACACACACACACTCTCATGTGTATTTTTTAAAAATACTATTCATGCAGACCAGATTTGCACAACCTTGGACTCTGAAATGATAATTTTTAAAAACTACACCAGTCATTGAAAAACGTCTCTCTATTGTGCTATTCTTAAATATTCAGTCCAGGCTCCTTGGAAACACTTTCACAAGATACCACACAAAAAGTTACATTCATACTTTCAGTTGTTTGGCAGAAACACTTTTTTAAATGCCTACAGAGAAATGACAGAATGAGGGAAACTCCTCGTGCAAAAACCTACAACAATAAAGCAGGATTTTCTTCTAAGTCTCTAATTAGCACAAACATTCCTCACATACATGAACAGTGAGATGTCCTATTAAACAGTGGGCAATCTATCAATGTGTGCAGCACCCAGCAGGACTTCAGCACAAAATCTAACTTTGCCAAGAAAATATCCCCATAAAATTGTCTCATGACTTTAACTCCTATGGCGATAATACCTAGATCAGTAATGTGGGACTTTCAACAGCTACATTAAGCCTTGAAACGTTATTCATAACTGAAAAAATAGAACTATATTAATGTAACAAAGCATTCTCCATGACAGACAAGCAAGGGATGAATTAGAAAGTCAGGTCTGGGCTACAAGTCAAGCAGCAACAAGAAAAGAAGGAAATGGTAGGTCACCTTCTATACAACAGAAAGATTCCCTTGCCTTTAAATGACAGAAGGTCACACCACCTTAAACACATATCCAAAGGTGGCAGCCTATTGTCAGAGAAATAGATCCTGGCTTCTTAGAAATTATATGTCATAATTACGCCACATCAACTATATTTATGTGATCAGATAAAGTATTCAAGTTATTTAATAGGAAACTATTATCCAATTACTGTCTTCTATATTCTATATCTAGCCATATATAAATATTGCCATATAATATCCACAGTGGTCCACTTGCATGGTATCTTAACCGGGTTATGGATGCCAATTATTCAAACACTAATAGGAATTGATGCAACCCTATTTTGCAGGTGTGACTGAGGTTGGAGACAGTTAGTTGAAAGGTCAGGAGAGAACTGAGACTTCCCTGGAGAAGAAACGTAAGTTACAGCTCATACTTAAGAGATTGCATCTACTTCCTTACAGTCCTCTCCACTTGTCAGCTAATCCTTTGCAGTAAGTTTCTTGAAATCCACCTGTGTGTGTGTGGTCCTAGTGGTATTTCTCTGGTTGGTAACATCATTCCAAACAAAACTGGCTATAGACACAGAGGATACCAGTTGTTTTTAATGTAATGAAGAAAGGATATCTTTTATAGAACATCTCAGTAGGTATACCCAACCCTTTGACATTGTTGTCATCTACAGAGTTCACACTCAAAAAGTCCACAATAGCATTATGAATACTTGTAAGTCTCATAATGTCTTAATAAGTTAATTATTTTGTATTTGGGCCACATTTATAGCTCTCCTTGGCCACATGTAGCCCATGGCCTGCAGTTAGATATACTGATAAGAAGCAGCTATTCTTAATTAGCTTTAAGGTTACTGCTCAAAACAGCAGCCCCAACAAGTCAACAATTACATTTTAGGCTCACATTCTGCCTGGAAACTGATAAAAAAAATCATGAACTTTACAGATAAATGAATGGAAGTACAGAAGATACTATTGGGGGAGGTAACCTAGACCCAGGAAAGACAAACACTGCATGTTCCCTTTTCTTGGAGGCTCCTAGCTCCAAATCTTGACGCGTGAGCATATAGTAGTATGATATATACACTATACACTATTATGCTAGTAACTACAGAAACCAGGAAAGAAAAATGGGACTGTTGCCAGGATATGGAGTGTGAGGGAAGCAATAGAGAGGGGAACAGCAGATCACAAGTGATCTGATCAGGAAAATGGGGGAAGGGGGCTTAGGGAGAGGAAGCAAAGTAAATACAGAAGACTGGGAGGAAGGTAAAGGGAAATGGCAGGATACAAGTGATGATCCGATGGGGGAAAGGGGAACGAAGGGCTCTTTATGGCAGGAGTAGGGAGGTGAATACCAGAGAAGCATTGCAAAAGAGGAGTCAGAAAGAATGCAACAGGGAAGAGAGCTGTAAATGCTGTCTTCTGGTCACAACAAGGCCATCACACTCAGGCACTCAGACCATCAGCAGTTACCTGCATGAGACCTGAACAAGATCAAGCCAATCATCATTGTAGCATGAATGCGGGAAGTCTTGAGAGACAGCTGCTGGTGGAAGGGGAGTCACTGCTCATTAAAGTTGCAGCCACTTAAGTTGCCCATGCTCCCGATAATGGCCTTACCACCATGCTCATGTGCACAGCACTAATTGGACTCAGCTGATTAGAAAAAAAGAGGATATAAAGCTGGGGGAGTTGTTGGAGCAAAAGAGTTGGAGGTGGATGACACCTGACTTTTTCTTTTTCCTTTTGTAAGATTGTTTTGCTTGGTTGTTTCTTTTTTTGTGGGGAGGGGGCTGTTTCAAGACAGGGTTTCTCTATGTAGACCAGGCTGTCCTGGAACTCAGAGATCTGCCTGTCTCTACTTCCTGAGTGCTGGGTTTAAAGGCAAGTGCCACCAAGCCTAGTGTTTTTAGTATTTTTTAAGTTCTGAGTATGCCTGTGTGTCTATGTGGGTGTGCTCATGTGATTACATGCCCACAGTTGCTGCTGGGTCCCCTAGAACTGGAGTCATGTGAGCTGCCTAATTTGGATGCTGGAAACAGAGCTCAGGTCTTCTGCTGGAGGAGTAAACGCTCTTAACCACTGAACCATCTTCATGGCTCCTGAAATTCTCAGAGAATACATTAATTACTTAATGGAAGAATGCATTGACAACCATGTGAAGCAATGCTAAATCAGATGAAAAAAGCATGATTTGGAATACACTGCTGATGACTTCACAAGGAATCAACCATGACCTCACTTAAGGTAAGTATAGGGTAAGTTACCTGCAGCTCATTCTAAGTAAATATTTCCCTTGGATTTCAAACTTTTAATTTTACTATCCAACACTCTAATACATTTTAAACACAAAGAATTGCCTACAATTAAACTGAATCTAAGTAAAATAAAATAGCTAAACAGAAATTAGGTGAAATAAAGAAGATTTTATTCTTTATCTTCAAATAATTCCACTAGTATAATGATGAATGAAACAAACGGTAGGAAAAGTAAGCAATGCAAACATTAATCTTTCCATAGCTTTGGTGGCCTCAAATTTAGCACACAGCTATTTCTGTAACACCCTTTGGATTTTCTTCAGAATTTACAGTAATTCATTCAATGTTGTAGACTTGTCCTTGCCTAATAGAGAGAATTTTATCTTTTCTATCACTGCCTGTCAAAAATTCAGAATTACTAGTTCTGACAAGGATAAGTTACCGTGGATTCCAGGAAGGTAAGGCAGGGTGTCTGGCTCCATTTTCAGAGCCTTGGCCATTTATATAAATCAGACCAGAGACGCCCAGGCTTCTGGGAAATGGGGCCATTAGCTTTAGAATTAAACAAGCTACTCCCAGGGAATCAACTACTATTAACTTTCATTAGCCAGCATTTGCCTGCTTGGTGGGAAGAAAGGAATGCAAAGTGGAACACTGGGGAACAGGAGAGAGTTGGGGGGGCAGAGGGTCTGCAGTCATTTATGTTGTGGTTTGTTAAAACAGGTCATGTTGGGTTGTGTGTCAATAAGTCTAACTGCATGATGAACAGCAAGCTTTTCCTGCCCCCCAAACAGGGTCCCGCTGGCTAGTTGAGTCTTTGTTCTTTTTCTACTTGTCCTATTTTCATTACCGAGTCAAAATCTCTCTTTTACCATTTCTCAGTTCCTCCATTGTCCTTTTCCTCTGTCTAGATTTAATGACATAGAAGGTATACTGCATTGCCATATGCCTCAAGAAAGAGAAAGAAGGCTGGAGAGCACAGATCACTGTGAGCACAGACGAAGCTAGATGGGGCACACTTTCTCTAGCCTTTTATCAACTGCATTTCCCAGACTCTTCCCCAGTCCAGCATCTATCTCTCTTCGGGACCCTGAGCATCAAGATGATGAGAAGCACCAGAAATGCTACACTAGTCTTTGTGGATTGTCTCCCCAGTTCCATGGTTTATTCTCTTTCCTTCCCTGGACCCTCAGATACAAGGATAAGTATTTAAATTATACACAAGCACTCTTACCATTGACCATCCCTTGACTAAATAAGGGAGAAACAAGCTGCAATGAATACCTTCACAAGCCGATGCTTCAGCACTGTCTTCTTGGTGGATGGACAACAAATGGTTGCATTTTGTTTTCGGCTCCAACTCTGTTGTCTTTCCCTTCTCTGATGTTCCCGTACGAAAACTCTGGGATCGGGACACAGAGATCTCAAACTGCTTGATCACATCTTCATCACTCTCAGAAGATGTGGATGGCTCTTCATCATCCCCAAAGCTGTTAACTGGGAGCAAAAAAGAGTCATGAGTCTCCTATGTGGCTCTGTGATCCAACACAGTGACAGACAAACCAGGAAAAGGAGAAAAGACATGGGTAGTTAGCCTGGATGGAACAAGCTCAAACCAGATAGAAAGGATTTAAAGTACTCTTGAAACAGAAATCTGGGTCAAAGGAGTAAGTAGAGAGAGATGGCTGGTACCCAGGAGAAAACAGTAGGACACCCATCATTGGCACAATGACCATCCTGAGACATAGTTCTGGCCAATGGTGCTACTGGTGGTGATGGTGTATCTATAACAGGAAAAGCAGGACTGTTACAGGCACATTTGCCCAATGCAGTTCTTTGGAAAAGGTACACTTTGTCTTGTTGCGTTTATTGAAACACACAGAGCCAAGCCCTACTTCTGAGGAGAGATATTTGCAGCTGGGATTTTCCAAAGGCTCCCCTGCTTTGAAGAGAGATCACTGTGTGTATGGATTTTTACTCGTTTGAATCACAAATGTTCTAAATGTTTCTCAACCCAACCCAAATTACTGTTTTTAATGTATTTTACTGGGGCTGGGGAGATAGCTTGGTGGTTGATGTGTTTGCTATGCATGCATGAAGACCTAAGTCTGAATCTCCAGCACCAGTGTAAAAAGCCGAGTGTGCCAGCATGCACTTGTGACCTCAGTACTGCTGGGGGGTGAGGGTGGGGGACTCAGGCAGAACTCTACAGCTTGCTGGTTAATAGGTCTAGCCAACTCATAATCTCCAGGTTCAGTAAAAGGCCCTCCTTTAAAAAAATAAGACAGAGGATGATAAAGTAAGATATCTGATATCACCCTCAGACCTCCACATACACAGCATGCACATGAGAAACTGTACCATATATGTATATGTATATATATATATATATGTGCGTGTATACATATACATTTGCATATATATTATTGGTATAATTGAGGTTTATGTGATACTATGGGGAAAAGAGAGAAAAAATGGTTCTGTAGGGAGAAAAAAAATGACCTATTTTCTCAAATCCCTACCTGTTTAATATGTGAGAAGAGAGACTACAATCTTCTTATGTAATAAAAATCTCCAGTACAATGCAGCATATTAACTAGACCCTCAGGCTGTTCTTTAAGGCTCTCAACTTTTAGCCTTCATATCTGCTACGTTATAGCCTTTGGGCCACATCTCCCCATTCCCTCCCCCACACAACTCTGCAAAGCCTATTTCTATGCTTTTATACATTGGACTCCCTTTTTATTTTTTATATAAGTGAGATCATGCAATGTATTTCTTCTCATGTCTGGCTTATTTCACTTGGTGTGACATTTTCCCGGTCCATCCACATTGTGCCAAATGGGAAATTCAGCCCATTTTAAGGCTAAATGATACACTTTTTTAGATATGTGTATACACACACATACATGCACAAGTATTCTTTAGCTATTTGCCACTTAGAAACACAAGCTGTTTCCATATCATTACACTATAATGAACAGATATCCTTATATGAGATGGTTTTTACCTTCTGTGAGTATATTCTCAGAAGAGGAATGACTAGGTCATACAGCAGCTCCATTTTGCATTTCTGCGAAACCCTACATGCTGTCTGCTCCAATAGCTTCACCAGCCAACATTCCTACCAACAGCAAACTAGGTCCCCCTTAATTGTTCTTGGTTTTTCTGAGCATAGTCAAGTTAGTGAGACACCATTGAAATTATTTGTGCATTTTCCCACCAGCACACTTGAAGTCCTTCAATCTCTCCAACGTACCAAGAATGCTTGTGATTTTTTAGTTCTTTGCCTCTGATGTTCCCTCTGCCTCCCATGAACTTTTACAATGCTGGCTCCTTCCCATTCAGGTCTCAGACCAACTGTCACTTCATTCTGAAAGTATCCTTGATCATCCTCCCTTGACTAGCACTCATCTCCATTCCCTCTTCTCCTCTAGAACATCTATAAAACTAAGTCTATTACTCCACTTCTCTTGTTAACTGATGTCATTCTACTATGTAAAACATGCCAGTTACATGGTAAATACAAATGCTTGTTAAATATTGAGCATTTGGTGAATACCCAGTGTTGTCCCGAGCCTGAGCTCCCACATACACCTTTAGGTACTGGTTTCTGTTACTGAATGCTTATATCCAGTCTCCCACATAGACTAATTAAGAATGTAACTCATCTTTGAGGTTTGTGTCTAGATTATCACATCTTTTAGAATATTCTTACTTTACCCCTTAAATCAGGCTAGGGACTCCTTCCATGTGCTATAAAATCATTATTGTTTTTTTACCTTACCAATGTCATTCCTACAATATAGAGGAATTGCTGTTTCTTGGGACCCTGTCTTGGTAAAGAAAGGAAGGAAGGAGAGGAGAGGATGGAAGAGACAAGAGAAGGGAAACAGGGGAGAAGGAAGGGAAGGGGTAAGTCAGACAGAAGTCCAACAATAGCTATAGATTTGCTACCAAAAAGGGTATAGACCCATATTTGAGTCAAAGAAGACTGACCTGGAGCCCCGTAGCCCAGAGTTGCAGAGTAATGGGTGTATGGTAGGCCCTTACAATGTTTGCTCATGTTAGCTGCTACTGCGGCTAAGTCCCTTAACCACTCGGGTCCTGTGTCTTTTGTTTTGGGTCGTTTTTAATGTCTCTGTCATTTCCCCAGTGTTTTTGCAAGCATTTGACTGCTCCAACTCCATTACTGCTGACTGATGGGCATCAATATTCAGTGTGTCTTACTGATCTCCATGAAGCATCTGATCCATGAACAAGAGAACACACTTATTTCACCTCAGTGTTACTGGCTCTTTACAGAACCATATTAGAACCAGAAACATCTGTCCAGAGAAATTGTATCTCTCATTAAATACTTCAATAAGCTGTACAGACAGTATTCCACCAGAAAACCCCAACAACGAATAGTCTCTTCATGCCTGCATGTATTGGTCCTGGTATTCTGGTATGGTATAGACCATTGCATGAAGGAGAGAACCAAAAATCAGCAGGGATACAATTAAAGTACCAGTATCTTAGAGTGCAGCACCAGCTAAGAACCTAGGAGGTATCCAAGGAGATATATGGGAGGGACAGCTGACTTAAATATCCATTAGCACTCTTCCCAACTCTTGAATTCTATTTTGATATTTAAGCCAGTTTTTAAAATTTAAATAGCCACAAGTCATTCATCTCAGATACATGTGCTAGTGTAGGCTATTTCCATATCTAGACAATTATTAATGATAATTAAAATGTATGCACACACATAACCCTTGATATTTTCCCCTAGTGAGTCACTGACCATCTACAGAGTAAGGCTTCTCCTTGATTTAATAATCATATAATAACTATAACAACTACCATATCCTCTACACCCAATCTTCTTGGAACTTTGTATAGTCTATTTACTCATCATAGACTATTATTATTCCCATAGAACAGATAAACAATGACAGAAAAGAATAAGTTGTGTTAGAAAACAAAGTTAGAAAAGCAACAAAGCTGAAACTTAAACACAGAACCTCTATTCCTAAGCATTTTACATATCATCAGACATTATCACAGTGGGAAACAGAGCCATGTCTAGAATGAATGAAGAAAGAGCTTCACCATTTAGCCTTAATTCTGATCTCTCTCGGCTAGATGAAAGAGAAGAGCAATGAGAATGGCAGCAGGTCTACATGAGTATGGGCAGGCTGCAGGATAACTGGCCTGTCACTCTGCATCTGATTTAAATATAACTGCACCTGCTATTCAAAGCCTCGCTTCCCAAGGTTCTCGGAGCACTCTCAGTCTAAAAAGGAAACCTGCAATCACTCCTGGATGCCACTGGGCAGTGACAGTGACACCATTCAAGTGACAAAAGCAATCCAATATTCAACCTCCAGCAGGGTTGTGGTGGTTTGAATAGAAAGGGTCTCTATAGGCTCATAGATTTGAATGCTTGGTCTCCCTGGGGTGGCACCATTGGGGGTATGGCCTTGCTGGAGTAGGTATGGCCTTGTTGGAGGAAGTAGTTACTGGGGTAGGCTTTGAGGTTTCAAATCCTCAAGCCAGGAGTCTTTCTCTCTCCCTGCTGCTTGCTGAGATAGAGAACATTGGCTTCTCTCCAGCACCACGTCTGACTGCACACCACCATGCTTCCCACCATGACAATATGGACTAACCCTCTGCACTGTGATCGAGCCCCAGTTAAATGTTTTCCTTCATAAGAGTTGCCATGATCATGGTGTCTCTTCATGGCAATAGAACCGTGACTAAGACAAGGATTGGGGCATTCCTCTAGCACTTGACAGACGGTCACTTATTTTCCCACACACAATGGCCCCAAGAAATCATCATTGTTAACATGCCCATTTGGTGAATGAGGACCTAAGGCTTAGTGTCAGTCAGTCACAGTTTCAAGTAGGGATTCAAGATTCAAGCCCAAGCTGTCTTACTCTAAAGACTTCCTCAGGAGCAACACAATCCATCTTCTTAAATCTTGTGTAAACTGTGTATTCTCACTAGGAAAATGAAATCACATTTTGAGCTGGAAAGGACTCTTAGGAGCATCTATTTCCCATTTAAAGAGGGAACAATCATTAGCCCATGGTCAGCCCAAGCTAGGACCAATTCCAGTTCCCCAGTATTTGCAACAAACTGTGTGGTCACACAACTCCCCAGTCTCTCTTTCTAATGATTTTTCCCCAGATTCAAATTTCAATCATCTGCTTGAATGATCCACTTACCTGCCTTGAAATGAAACTATATCAACAACTAAATACCTGGTCAGGGTTTCATTTAATTTAATGTCTGAAAACA